GAAGCTCACCTTTGGGTGACTTTTCAGAGGGGAGATCTATGGAGGTGGAGAAGACCAGGGATCTCAACCTGCTTCCAGGATGGCGCCATGGCCAGGATGAAAAGCCAACGTTGTATTCCAAGCCAGTAGGGAGCCAACCTTGACTTGAAAGAAACTTGTTCAAAAATTCCCTATCTCAGAGCTATCAGTGTTCGGCAGCTCCCGAAGTCCCGATTAAACCCTCTCGTTTATGAAACAATCTGTCTGCTATGCGAAAGGGAGCATGGCTGGAGGCAAAGTGCAATTATTACAAGATAACACTTGTGGGGAAGAAAAAGCTTGACAAGGGTATTAAAGTGTATCAGATGTAGAGATTTTGGCGCAAAATACAGAAGCACCGGCTCGTTCCAGGCAGCAGCAGATACAACCTCTGATGAGGAAGGTGTTGGCACCCTTCATCCTCAGGAGAAGCAGCAGGAAGCCAAGAGAGAACCCCAGGCTTCCTTCCTTTCCTGAGGACTAGCAGCGGGAGAGAAATTCTGAGTTTCCCAACCTGCGACTCAAGAAACAGAAGCTTTCTGACTCCTCTTAAGTTCTTACTTTGCGCTAAAATTGGGGAGGGGGTTTCCTGGCGCTGCAGAGAGGAAGGTGGCTGCCTTGGGAGGCCACCACAGAAAACACTTCTGCACCCCAACAAAAGAGCTCTGCCTTTAAAAAAAAAAAGCCCTCCTCTTGTCTCCAAAGAGTTGTGACCCATTCTTGCCTCAGTCGTTAAGTGAATCACTGCAGTTGTTAAGTTAGTAACACGGTTGTTAAGTGAATCTTGTTTCCCCATTGAATTTGCTGGTCAGAAAACTGGAAAATCTGATCCCGGGATGTGCAACTGTCATAAGTACATGCCAGTTGCCAAGTGTCTGAATTTTGATCACGTGACTTCATGGGGATGCTGCAATGGCCGCGTGAAAAATGGTTATAAATCACTTTTTTCACTGCCATTGTAACTTTGAACAAACAGTTGCAAGTCAAGAACTACCTGTACATATAAACTCTTAAAAGATTCAGTCATAAATTAAAGGCAGGAGTGACAATAAATTATGCTTAACTTTTAAAATTTATTTTGGGGCCAGGTAAGCAAAAACAGAATAAGCTTTCTTTTGTTTTTTTGTTTCACATCTTCTAAAATGTTCAGTGAAGAATGAAGGTTTAAAGAAACATTCAAGTTTTCAAACCCTGGCTTTACAATTATATAAGAAATATATCTTTGTAAAATCTTTCATAAATATATTATATATGAATATATAATATATTTCAGGTAATTAATGAACTCAAGCTGGGAGAGCGATTTTCAGATGCTTGGAATGTACAAAACAAACAGGCATTGTAAGAAAATAGCACGTTTTTTTTTTATTCCACCCCCAAAAGTACCTGCCTATTAAAAAATCTATTTTTAAAAAACCTTTTTGAAGCTTCATTTCTATAAAGTAACTATTTTGAAACCATCTTGTGGTATTGCAAGAATATGCTGAATATTGATCTGGAATGGGGTAATCGCATGTGCGTGAATGAACCCAATTCATGCCAGACCTTTCCAGTAAACCAGATCAAAAATTCAGCTAAAGGAGCTAATTCTATTTTTCTGTAAAGTTATATTAATAGCATCTTTCCCAAATTTCCCACCTGCAATTTTAACGGCCTGATCAGTTAAGGTGAACTCTTCCAAAGTTTCCTTCCTCTAACCGTTTGGGAGCAATTGTTGGCAACATGTCTTGTTTATTATTTATTGAATACATTTCTGGGCTGCCCATCTTCCTTCCCCATAAGGTGACTCTGGGTCGCAGAGTATAATTATTATTATTATAATTTGGTAACAGATTATAAAAAGATAAATAGAAAATAATTTAAAATATTAAAACGCTATGCAAATTAAAAAGTTTAAAACTACTCCAAACTTCCTGTGGAGATTCTGTCATCCAGGTCATGGTTATCTCAAAAGTTGCTTTTTTTTTTCAAAAGGCAACTGGAGTTTGTTTTTCCTTGAAAATGTTCTTTTTTCATCCCAGAAGCTTCTTCAGGAACTCAAGAAGCTTCTTAGACGAGAAGCAAAACACCTTCAAGGAAAAACAAAGTCCAGGTTGCCTTTTGAAAGATCACCTTTGGAATATGCCAACTTCCCCAAGGACACCTGTCCCTTCCATTCCAAGCGGGGCTCCTCTTCCTTAGTGAAACGGCTGATCGGTAGAATGGCTCCATGGTGGGTTCTTGCGTCCTCCTCAACTTCCTCCTTAACCCTAGTTCCAGAACTGGAACTCTGGTCTTACTCCTTTTCATATACCCCTGGTTTTTTTTTTGACTTCCTTATTCAACAGGTATGTCCCTCGATCCAATCAGTCCATCGCTTGAGATCCGTTCTGGGCCTGTTGGGTTCCATGGAATCGATTCGTAGCAGAATCACCATCGTTCACCTTCAGTTCCGGTGGTTCTGGAGACCCTGGAGGACATCCATTTCCTTGCACGGGGAACCTCTGCCTCCTTCACCCTAACCCATCCACCCCCCACCCCCCACCCCCAAATGAAAGTCTCAACTCCTTGATCCTGGAATCAGTGCCCTTGTTTCCGCTGAGCTACTGGGGGAAACAACGCTTTGCGGAGTTGCTGACTTGCTTCCCTTTTTCACAACTCAGGGGGGGCTTTTCAGCCCAAGAAAGGGTTGGCGGAGAGGAAGCTGGGAAGCTTACCAGGGACTTCCGTGCCTTTGCTGATTTTTCAGTCTTTAACAATGAGCTTCCCACCCACAGCAACAACGGTGGGATTCAAAAAAAAATTTTTTTTTACTAGCGGTTCTGTGGGCGTGGCTTGGTGGGCGTGGCTTGGTGGGCGTGGCAGGGGAAGGAGGATACTGCAAAATCCCCCTTCCCTCCCCACCCCACTCACCTGCTTTCCAGCTCCGTTCTCCTGTGCAGGGCAACCAAAGGAGAACCAGCCGATCAGCTGGGACTCAATGGGAGGCAGAGAAGAGGTGGGGTTGGCGGGGCCAGTCAGAGGCGGGATTGGCCGGTTCTCTGAACTACTCAACATTTCTGCTACCGGTTCTCCAGAACTGGTCCAAACCAGCTGAACCCCACTTCTGGACAGCAACCTCTCCAATTGGAGATTAGCAAGCTACACAATGGACATCAACAGATGGAATGAACAAAATATATACAGAGGAGAGCTGTAAGTGCTCCCCTCTTAATGTGAAAGGGGGCAGAGGACTTTTGGACCAGTGATAAATCAGGAAGTTGGGAATCGACTGGATTACCTCTTTTGCATTCTCCTAAGGGTCAACCAGAGAAAAAAAGGCAGGAGGGATCCCTACACTTCCATGTTTTGGAACCAGCAGGAATGAAAATTGGCCTTCCGTTTCAAATTGTTATGTGAGGCACTGGAACTGCTCCAGAGGAATCCAAAAAAATATATATATCTTGGAACAACTCTTTAAAATGCCAGCAAGGAAACTAGACTGTTTTGACCGAGTTATCCACAAAACCTAGTATTTTCCCAAGTAACATGTTAGGTTTGAAGTTTATCTACAACCATCAGAACTTTCTCTACGGATATTTTTGAGTTATTATTTTGTTTGGATCCTTTTCTCTACCGTAAAAATGCAAATGGGAACACACACATGTAGGCGATTAATCATTTGCAGTCAACATTCAGCTCTGCCACATATTTGATATTTTTTCAGCCATGAAGAACACTTTCATTCAAAGAAAGAAAAACTGGGAGAAAAAATCACTCCACCTTAATGCACGGAGGCAAAAGTGATGAAAGATTTCTTAGCTCTTACAGAGATGGAAAAAGGATTATTTCGGCTGTCAAATTTTTGGATTTAATATTAACATAGTACAGAATGCATGTCCAGATAATTGTTGCAACCCAGGAAAAGCAATTTTTTTGTTTTGTTTTTATAAAGAAAAATTGGTATTAAACTAATGTGTTGAAGGACTATACAGCTATACATTTTTCTAAGATTTCTCAGGAATTCAGAAAAACAATCTTGAATAATCTTCCTCTATTTTTAATAAGTTAAAATCCTTAAATCTGATGAAAAAATTAAATGTATACATTAATGAACATATGTTAATATCTATAAATAATTTTACAAATATACATGTTAAAATATAAATTCTTAAAACAAATCAAGCTGACAAGATAAAAGAAAACCTTTGCCTAAATCAGTATGTCCTACTCTGGAAGAACTCTTAACTGGAATAAATTCTTCTTCAGTCTTGTCAGCCATGTTAATATCAGAGATATTATATACACACAAGAGCTATTTATAGATATATGCACAATTGTAGGAAATAAAACTTTGCGATTCGTTGAAAGGCGCAAGACTATGGGGGTACCCGTAATATCTTTTTTTTTTTTCCTCTCTCTCTCCAAGTGTTTGATAATAGATTTCTGGGAAAAATTTATAGACCTCCGTTACAAATATATTTAAACTTTATCTAGAAAAAAAACGCACCCAGAAAATAGCTAAATAAATGTAGCAAATAGCAGAATTTCAATTTGATGCACATTACAGTTCATAGAAACCCCCTGGAAAAGTTAGCCAAAGTCACTGCTATGTGCTCATTAACAAATGACACACGCGCACACCCCAACACACACACACACACACACACTTTTCTAGAGCTTGCAACACCTCCAGGCCTTCATGTCTCGTCTTGCCTGCACACACTCACTTATCCAGCCATTAGTGCAAGAGGGTGGCGTACTTCCCACCGTGAGAAAAGTGAAGGCAAACTTAACAAGAGGTTTAACGCTTTCGAGAGTGATTAACTCCTCAAAATGGCTTTGAAATGCGTCCTCAAGGAGATGGCGACATTTTATATATTTATTCACTATAAAAACCAGTACTTACTTAAGATTCCCTGCAGGCAACGTGGCTACCAAGCCCCGCCAAAGGAGAGTCGTGCACGGATGGCACGAGGGCAAAGTTTGCTACGTTCTTTGCACGTGGTTGTTGATTTTTATTGTTTTGTTTCGTTTTTCCCACCCACTCCTAGAATTTGCACACATAGAAAATGGACTCAGAGGCTGGTTTCCCATCCTCTCCTTTGCCTTTCATGGTTTCCAGGGTGGGATTCAAATTTTTTTACTACCAGTTGGACGTGGCTTGGTGGGCGTGGCAGGGGAAGGAGACTGTAAAATCTCCAGTCAGAGGCGGCATTTGCGGTTCTCCAAACTACTCAAAATTTCTGCTACCGGTTTTCCAGAAGTGAATGCCACCTCTGTTTCCGGGTGTTTGACAAGAAAAGTAGGAAGAAAACACGTTCGGCGTGCCACGGCTTCATGGCCACACCCGCCTCCATGCCGTGGAGCAGAATAACGCCTCTTCCTCCTCCAGATCTGGTCCCGGAGTCCCGCCTCAGACATACATTCACGATTCTCGTGTTTGAGGCTCAGTCTCTGTCCTCATGTCCTGACGATGCCGTTGGCCGGCTGTTTTGGGAGGCAGGGCTCCTCCGAGAGCAGCTCGTGTGCAAATACGGAGTCGTCTCCCGAAGAGCAGGCACTGTGGGTGTCGTGGCCTTTGGGGGAGTATTGCTCGAAGGCCACGGACAGGTCGATGTATTCCTACGAGGAGAACAACGGGCGTGAATATCATCAAGGAGCAGGCGCGACAAGGGCCACATCTCACCTCCAATGGGGGAAGCCAATGGGGTCTCCACACGCTAAGGGCCTGTGGCCTGCTTTTGAGGATCTAGCTGTGGTTTAATGGCAGCTTGTTAGGACTCAAGTTTCAACTCATTCCCTCAAAACGACGCTATAGAGCCCTGCACACCAGAACAACTAGACACAAGGACAGGTTTTTCCCCAGCACCATCCCTCTGCTAAACAAATAATTCCTTCAACACTGTCCAACTATTTACAAAGTCTGCACTATATTACTATTAATCTCATCACTCCTTATCTCCCATCCCCTCCCACTTGTGACTGTAGGACTGTAACTTTGTCACTCGTATCCTCATGATTTATATGGACTGTTTCCTAGTAGGATTTGATTGCTTATTGTACCCTATGACTATTATTATTAAGTGTTGTACCTGATGATTCTTGACTCTTGACAAATGTTATCTTTTCTTTTATGTACACTGAGAGCATTTGCACCAAGACAAATTCCTTGTGTGTCCAATCACACTGGGCCAATAAAGAATTCAATTCAATTCAATTCAATTCAATTCTTATTCTCTTCTCAAATGAAATCAGGATTCCAAAGAGCAGTCCAAAGGCATTATGGAGCAGGGCCCGTGGTCCATACCAAGCTAAGGCAATGATTCCATGAAGAGCCATGGTGCAACAACAGACACGGTTTCTCCTATATAACCTTGTCCAACTACTGAATTTCTCCTCCTGGGCAGCTACTTGGAAAAAGCTCAGCTCCCCTTGGAGTGGAGACACAGCTTGTTCAATTGTGGCATTTGGGCCCATTCTCTAGTAGATTTGCTTTGCGACACCTGAAATAGTTTGCAAACGATACTCAATTCTTTCTGGGACTTGGGTACTTTTTGCTACTTTTTTGTCCCATAGCTCTTTTCTACTGGCCGTCCTTTTTTTTTTTTTAATTGAAAATGCACTGTTTTTAAAATTCTGCCTGAGGAACGGAGAGGCACATTAAAGTATCCCAAACAAAGAAACTAAATCATGTCAATAGTTGCATGAAAGTTAAAAGGTGACACTGCAGCAATGACAATGCCTTCTCCTGTGGCGCTGACTGCAGCCTCTGCCCCTGAACTGCCCCCCTGTAGCTCTCTCGGCTCTTAAAACGGTGGCAAGGCTGGCAAATGCTCAGGGGGCTACTCTCTTGAGTACTGGGGGGGGGGGGGGGGGGGGGGGGCGCACAAGAGCTCTCCCGATGAAGAACGGAGGAGATACGTACGTCGGTGGAGGTGACCGTCAGCACTCGGTCCAGGTCTTCTACCAGCTGCTTAAAAGTCGGCCTCTGAGAAGGCACCGCATGCCAGCACTCCCGGATGATCATGTACCTGGGAAAGGGAAGGGCCGCCAGTCAGCTTTCCCTCAGCCCGGCGGGGAGAGAGAGAGAGGGCGGGGGGGGGGCAGGCTGTCTTGGCTGCCCGTGTTTTCTACCCAGGTGCACTCCAAAAACAAACGAAACAAGGCTCTGGTTGTCCCAAAAGTCAGAGGGAAGAGCCACGCAGTGACAGCTTTTAGATTTATAACCCATATGGAGGGCAGAAACGTTGGAGGGAGCATCCACGTTGGTCCCTCTTCTTGTTTTCCCTCACAACAATAACCCTGTGAGGTGGGCTGGACTGAGAGAGAAGGAGAGAAGGGGGAGGAAGCGGGGGAGAGGGGGGGGCAGTGGGAGATGGGGAGAGGGAGAGAGGGAAAAGGAAAGGGAAGGGAAGGGAAAGGGAGAGGAGAGGGATAGAAGGAGGGGAGGGTGGAGAATGGGTCACTTCTGGGTGAAGGTGAATCTGCGTCTCCTTACTCTTAGCCCACCACTCGCCCCTTAGCCCACACCGCCCCTGGGGCTGAGAAGGAGGGGTGGGCCCACACACAGAGCCACAGGGTGAGCTTGGAGCTGATCCAGAGGATCGTCCAGAAATACCGCCAGGTCCCCCGGAGTGAAGCAGGGCCTTGAACCCCTGAGGAAAGCCCACGGAAGGGGAAGGGCTGGCCTCTGAGGGCTCTGCAGGCTGCCTGGAAACTGGACCGAAACCTTTGGGCAGCTTTGAGGGGCTGCATCCAAATAGAAGGAGCCCGTTTGGGATGAAGCTGAGCTTGGTTTGGGCTCTTTTGGGGAGACCGGTCCCGACCTGGGGGGATGGGCTGAAAGCGTCCAAAGAACGTTCTGAGGTTGAGAGGACACTTGGTTGAGTTTTGGGTGGCTACAGAGAAGGAAGGAAGAAGGAAGGAAGGAAGGAAGGAAGGAAGGAAGGAAGGAAGGAAGGAAGG